TAAATCCTGGAGTTATTCACTGAGCAAGAGACTGTGATCCACTGATAACCAGAGATGGATTCAGCCACGAGTGCCGGTCCAAGACCTCCCGATCAGCACTGCAGACTTCAGCACACACGGACACCCCCCAGCCGTAATCCCACGATTCGGGGCGTCCCTTTCTACGGCGGGCACGGAATTCCTAAAGCCAAACCCATCTATTTTCCTACAAAACTGCCCAGGATCATCACAGCTTCGCCGGCAGCAGATCCTGCCCGAGCCCGGCGGCCGCCACCCCTTCCCCAACCCTTACAGAGGGAAGCAGCGAGCGGGAAGGTGTCGGGACTCACACGCACACGTCCCTTTCTATATCTATCCCCGAAAATCCCGCAGGGCAGCCTGGAATGCGGCCCCAGGACTATATTTAGGGCTCCCCCCCGTCACGCTGGCAGCGCTGTCACACAAGCCTGGGCCAGCAAAAGCTCCCGCCGCCGCGGCGGGCAACGGGGAGAGCGGAGCTGCCAGCGCGGGCGGCGAGAGCCGCGGCTCCGCTTTCACATCCAATCACCCCGGCTGCATCTGAGCGACCTGCCCGCTGGCGCCCGTCTCCTCCCAGCGACCTGAAGACCACAGAGCTCATCATTTTCCTTCCAGCTGTAYCCCCCCGCCCTCCTCGGGGCACCCGCTTTCCCCGGGCAAGGGTGCGGGAGAGCCAGCGGGTCGGTCCCATGTGCTGGGCACCCACTTTGCAGCMTGGGATGGGCGGGGTAATTCAAGAAATGCACTCTCCTGCCTTACAGAAACCCGCACTGGCCGCCCCAAAAATCACGCCAGGGTGATTTTGCCACTCGSGAAGTGCCGGTGGCAAAGCCACGGTGGGGACAGGGACACCGCGACCCTGCCCGCACCCCTCCTGCAGCCTGTGCTCCGAGCCGGGGGGCACCCAGAGCCCAGACGGTTAATTCCGAGCCTCACCCCAGCCTCCGTTCCCACACAGCCGCCACTTGCTGAAATTAAAGCAGGGCCTGATCTGATTCCTATGGCGGCTTAGCGCGCCCACTCAGCCGGTTTATCATAATCCCGACATAAAAATCGCTCCCTTGAAAACGCTCAGGGGTTTGAAGCCCTGATTGTTTGAAGAGGAAAGACTCTGTTCTCAGCACAAAGATGTGCTCCCCTCTCAGCCCCGGTCCGGCAGCCGGAGGCTTCAATCAGCATTTTTGACGCCCTGGGTACCCATGGCAGGAACCCTCAGGCTTTCCTTGGCACAGAGATCCCCCCCAAAACCCAGCTGAACCAGCGGGGCACCCCCAAAAAAGCAGAGTTTTGAGGACTGGTGCTGCCAGCCCTGCCACAAGAGAATCTCTAAAAACCATCCCTTCTCCCTCCAAATYCAGCTGCAATTGCTTGGAGGGAGGAATTATATCTACGTATTAAAAACTGTATAAATACACATGGATTTGTMTCGTATTGGTGTGATTTCTTTGTGATGGCACTGCAGTGCCATTGCACACCTGCCCAACCCACAGTGCACCCGAGAACAAGGGGCACTTCATGCTCTAGAGAGACCTCGAAGGGCTTGAGACATCAGGGCCTCCTTTTGTTTGCAGTTTAAAACTGTAAAAGGCTGGCAGAAAATTCCTTCAATATCTATTTGCCTCCCCGATTTTTTAAAAAAGCATTTTTTTGTTCACTATTCATCATTCGGGGCTGAAAATTTTCAAATATAAAATACAAAAAATACAGATATTTTATCCATCACAAAATAAAAGTTGATATCCACTGGCAATACCGACCACCACGAGTATTTCTGCCCTTTTGCCAGTCCCCCAACCYGCAGCACATTGCTCGTAGGATGAGAGTGGTGCAAAAGGGCTTTGGCCTCAGCAACAAACTGCTCTGCTGCATTTCTGCATCGCCAGTGTAAGCATTGAAGACAGAAGCTAAAGGGGATCTACTCAGCGAAATTAATAATTTTCAACAATTATATTTGTATAGGCTCGTTCTCCTCAATGACTCAATGAATCATGGATTAATTAGTATTGCTTTTTCTCCCATTTTTTTCCCCCAAAACTGCTGCTAAGCAGGAGAAGGGATGTGGAGAGCTGTTACCTCGCTCCCAAACATGCGAGTGTCTCCTATTAATGTCTCCAGCAGTTATGTGGCCAGAAGGGAGAGCAGAGTAGACAGTGCTGAGTGTTAACCAGTCAAATCAGAGTGTCCAAGCAAGCTTAAACGGCCACATGTAAACTGCAATTTGGATCAATGTCACGCAGACACACAGGGCTTACTGCTGGAGCACTCCAGGAGTAAATCAGGGAGAAAAGGAGAGAAAAAAAAATTAAAAATCAGCTGTTTGCAAGACTGTTTCAAAGCTCCACAGTCAAACGGACAGTCCCGCCACTGGAAATGGTCACCACCCCACAACAAAAATTCAAATTAAAAATAAATTCCACCCGRCCGAAGAGCGGCATGCTCTGGCAGCACCCACAAACCCCAAGGGCTGAAGCAAAACTTGTGGCACCAGGAACCCTAAGGGACCCATCCAACAGCTGAGGGGCTGGAAATGGTCCCCATTTCCTTCAAAGCACAAAGGGATGGGTGATGAACACAGAGGTGCTTTAGCCCCACGGTGTCACCACATCCCTGGATGGCAGCGGGGGGCAAAAGCATTTTAAGAGGAGYTTTTTGCAGCTGGGAATGAGCTGCACAAGCTCCAGAAAGCCAGGTTGGGCCTGGTGGGCTTTTAAAGCTGCACCAACCAGCACAGGCACCTCCTGCCCCTGGCTCCAGGCCTTCCACACATGGTTTGCTAAATTCTTGGACGAGTTTTGTCCTTGTCCCAATTTACATCCCCCCACTCCTGCTCATGCCTTTGTTACAGCCAAGAAGTGACACCATCCAAACCAGCCTATGGCRGTGCTGCACAGAGCAGGATTGGTCACCCAGGAACACCAAAAGATGCTCACATAGCACCKCTCCCAGCCCCTGATTGGAGAAAARGCGCCTTTCCCCCACCTCGAGCGAAGCCACTGGCCAATGGTGGGTGGCACGTGGCATCTTCCCAGTGCTCACCCAGAATAAGAGTCCCTTGTCCCCCTGGGGAGCCACCGCACCCCTTCACGCCAGGACTTTGGTGCCGGTGTCTGCCCATGGAAACATCCCAATCCATCAGCATGGCTGGAGTGGCAACAAAGCTGGACCAGCAAAGCTCTCCTGGCTCAGACTGCCTGGGAAGAATGAACGGGGAGATCTCAGAGAGGTGACATCCCGCTGTCACCAAAGCCAACGGTGTCCAGCTCATATCCTACGAGATGCTCGGGGTGTGAGCATTCACGKAGGATCTCTCCCTGTCCTGGAGGATGCTCTCTCTCCCTGTCCATTTTCCAAAACTCCTGGAGCTGGCTCCTAGCTGCCCTGACCTCTGCAATGTCCCTCTCTGACTGGGACAAGCCACCTGGGAGGAGCAGCGGGATGGCAACAGAGAACGGAGAATCAAATAAAAGCTCATAAAAAACTTCCCTACACCCCTGTCACTGTCAACATGGGCTGTGGGAACAGCACCAGGGACAATGGCAGCACCACCATGGACCTCAGTGGGAAAAAAACTGGAAGAAGGTTTTCACTAAGCTTTTCCCATGGCAAGAACTCCCAGTTAACACATGCACTAAATTATGCTGAATTACAGGTGAATTCGGGTGAGGCAAAAATACCTTGTTTATTAATTTTTGAGCAGGATAAATCTTCTACTTCACACCCAGCATCACAGCCCTTCCCCGAAGGAAGTGTCAGGGACAGTTTCTCCTGCCCTTTTGGTTTTTTTAAAAAATCGCGATGAGCACATGAGCGAAACGAGCGGGTCCAGCACAGGTCAAAAGTCAGCTCATTTCTACATCTCTCACAAGAGGGTTTTCGTAAAGTCACAAAGCTATAATTGCTCCTTTCCAAAATTAGTTCAGGTGCCGTCACCCGCATTAGCTCTTTATTATTATAAAGTCTCTTCTGGTTTTGTTTTTTTTTTTTTTTTTTTTTTTCTCCTTGAAATCACCGTTCTGAGATTATTTTATCTTAATCCACCATGAGACCTTTGTGTTCTTCTAAGCAAGATCAAGACACCTTTTCAAATAGGGCTGTGTTTTGCAGGTGGCATCTCAGGCAACCAGTCTGACTATTAAAAGCAAGTGGGAAGCACCCAGTTCACCTCTTTGACCCAAAATTCCCTTCTACAGTAGAGCAGATAAAAAAAAAATCTCAGTTTCCATAAGGAAGAGGTTGACGCATAATCCAGTAAAGAGGGATAAGAACCAGCATCAATTTGCAGAGAGGATAAATTAAGCAAAATCAAGTTCCCCAATTAGTCTCATGTGGTTCCACACACAAGTTATAGATATAAATATATATCTTTTGTAAATCTCCAAATTTGAATCTTGAGTCCATTCAAAGAAACGTTCATAGACAAAGGGTTAAAAGAAGAAAGAAAGCATTTGGATATAGATACTAGGGAAGAAAAACAAAGGAAACTGCAAGAAACCATTTTCCAAATCACCATATCCTTCTTTCTAATACTGATATCAAGTTATAGCTGTCAGGGAGGAAAATATATGTATCTGTATAACAGATAGGGAAGAGGGGGAGGGAAGGTAGAAAAAAGGAAAAAGAATCCAGCACTCATATTTGCAAAATAACCATTAATAAACATTGCTCTGTTGCTGCTTTATTAAACAGATAATCCAACACAGTAATCTGTATTGATTTATGGATTCTCTGATGCTCTACGACTGGTTATGCAATGAAAGTTCATCCTTGATCTGTAGTCTGGGTCCTGGACTTAACTAATTCATAATCTGATTGGAAGTTTTACTTTGTTAATTCAATTACAGTTAACGGCCGAGGAGAGAGTGGCAACATCTTTGTCTTTCTCAACACAGACGGTTTCTTCCTATGCCCAGAATCAGTAAACTCTTAAAAATCACAGGAGGCAAATAGGTTCTTTAAAAAAAAAAAAAAAAAAAAAATCCTACCTCGGGTTTTAATTCCAGTCTCTGAAAGTTGTCTTTTCCCCCATTTTTTCCGCCTCTCATTTCCTTTCTCTTCTTTTTTTTTTTTTTTTTTTTCTCTCTCTCTTAATTTTTTTCTTTTCCTCCTCTTCCTTCTGATGAATTTCCTTTCTTCTCCACATCCTCCTCAGGCGTGTAATGGGGTTATTTTTACTTTCGGTTATCTAGCTTTATGAAGAATCGACACCACTCATACAGCTAGATAACCAAAGATAACAACCAACCCCTGGAGTCTACAGCATCAGCAGGAAAAAAGCCAACCTCCTCTTCTCCAGGGGTTCGGGGGCACGTGGCTTTTAAGGAAGGAACGAGGGAGGAAAACGAATAAAAAAAGAGATGCAAATATTAGCAGCCAGATACAAAATATTCTCCCACAGCTACAGCCCTGGCCCTGTTCCCGCAGCCCGACCAGCCCAGGGCACAGAGTCCTGAGCATCGCTGGGACAACCAGGATCAGGCCCCTGGGAAACACAATTTGGAGCAGAATTGCAGGATAACCACGCAGGAGCTGCCTATTTTCTGCCGAGTTTCAATTTGTTTCATTTGCAAACCAAATGATATTCTGCAGGTGCCGAGAATTAAGCCCACATTATTTTTAATAACTATCAAATTAATGCATTCAAACTGGTAATAATCAAAGCAAATATAATTTGCGCCCGCAACTTAAAATATGCATAAAAGACCAAAAGGACATTTCCCCACCCACAAATGCGTTTAACGCTCTCTAAACAAAATGACTGCGAGAAAAACCTGCCGGTTAATATAAATAGTAACTTGTGATGCTKTGGATTCAGCCAAGATCTGGGGGAACAGCGAAGAATAAACACAGAAAACACAGAGGAAATGATGAAAGGGATGGAAGGGAGGAAAGAAGGAAGGGAGCGACTCCCGCTCGCGGCTCAGGACCCCGGCCCTGAGCAAGGACCGCGCATCTCGGGCAGGGACCGGGACCCGCGTCCCTCCGTTCGCTCAGGGGGAGAGCTCAGCTTTCYCCCAGAATGGACCCGCATCCCTCGCTTTCCTCGCCCCGTATCCCTCCGTCCTTTCTTCTTTCGCGGGGACCACGCATCCCTCCGTCCTTCCTTCAGGGGCTCTGCTTCCCTCCATTCTTCCTTTCTCCGGGTGTGGGGGGAACCCTCATTCTCCTTCACCAGAGTGACCTCGGTCCCTCCACCCTTCCTTCCTCCTCCTCCGAGGAGAAGAAATGTGCATCCCCCCCACCGCTCCTCCGYTCCAGGGCAGCCCGCATCCCTCCATTCTTCAGAGAAGGAACCCGCATCCCTCTCCTTCCCGGTGGCAGCCCGCATCCCTCCCTTCCTCCCTCCCGCCTCCACCCGCATCCCTCCCCTCTCCCAGCCACTTGCTCCGCTCCATCCCTCTTTCACCTGCATCCCTCTTTTCACCCTTCGCGCTGCGGGGAGGCGCGGAGCCCTCTCTCCTCCGAACCGCCGCGGCTTCACCGCCCCCGCCTGCGCCTCTACCGCGGAGGGGAGCGCCGGCAGAGCCGGGGGCCGGTGCCCGGAGCCTCGGCGGAGGCTCGGGGGGGCCCTCCCGGCGGTTGGGTCGGGCTCCGCTCGGCTCGTACCTGCTGCCCGCAGCCGCTGCCCGCAGCCTCTGCGCCGGGGGGAGCGGCGCGCGGCACTTTTCATTCATGCTTTCACACTCCCGGCCCTCGCCGCCGCCGCTGATTGGCTGGGCCCCGCCTGACGTCACCCGCCCCGGTTCCCACCCCTCTGCAGCGCCCATCGCTTCATCAATGGGGTCGGGGAGGGAGGGGCCCGCGCGCACACGCGCGTCCCCGCCATCCGTCACCCCCCACCTGTCACCTCTGTCCATCCCCCGCCATCGCCGTCCCCGCCATCATCCCCCTCCGTCTGCCCCATCGCCGCCACCATCTCCGCCGTTGCCATGTCCCCCCTGCTCCGTGCCACCACCGTGGGCGCCTCCATCATCGCCCTCGATCGCCACCATCACCCTCAATCGCCACCATCGCCATCATCATCATCATCATCGTTACCGTCTTCATCCTCTTCATCATCACCACCCGCATCACCGTGGAGTTCACCACCCTCAGCACAACGAATCTCATCGCCGCCATCGCCATCGCCAGTGCCCTCAGTGCCACCGGCCACCACCCATCCCAGCGCCAACTGTGTCCTCCACCAGCCGTGGCCATCCTCCCACCACCCACCTTTCCAGCTCTCCACCTCTCTGYCCCTCAAGCTCAGCCCCCTTGGCTCCCCTTTCTCGGGAGTGCCAGGGCCTGGCTGCAGTATGCAGACCCCGGACAGAACAAAACGCTGATTTATTTCTGTAATTTTAACCCCACCATTAAATACCCTTTGATTTTCTCATTATAATATACATCCCATTAAAAAAAAAAAAAACAAAAAAAACAAAAACCCAAACCCATGATTTTTCCTTGAACAAGAAGGAACAAGAGGTGTGGGGCTGGTTTTTTTTTTTTTTTTTCATTTTCTCTAAAAGTTCTTTATGCCTTGGAATTTTTTTTTCCTAGTGGAAAGCCATCAGGGTTTGGATCTGTGAGTTTGAGCTGGGAAGTTATTCGTGGCTTTTGTCTTTTTCCTGGAGCCAGATTCTCCCACTGCCACCCCTAGCACAGCACATCCACCCTGTCAGGGCACTGTCTCCCAGTTGCCCCCACTGGGAGGAAAATGGGAGCCCCATGAGGCCCTGAACTTGCAGGCCTGTCTGGGATTGGGGAAAGGGTGATGTGGGATGTGGAAATAACCCCAAAATATCCCGGCAGTGCTTGGCGGGGCTGGGGCTCTGCTCCATCGACAGCCCCYAGCCTGGCTTCTCTGTGAGCCCCCCTGCACAAAAGGGTTTGGGGTCTGATGTGTTGCACCTTTCCCTTTTCCCTTTGTCCGCTTCCAGGCTTGGGTGAGGGGAAAAACGCGATTTTCGGGATTTTCTGTGGGTGCTTGCAGGGGATTGGGGGGGCAGGATGGGCTGCAGCACCCATCAGAGCCACCCAGGGGTCTCCCACCTTCCCCCTCCTCCCGAATTGCAGCTTCCAACTTMTTTTAGGCAAAGGGCCCGCCTCGACCCCTCCCGGAGCCGCTCGCACCCCAGGGCCGGCGCTCCCCGTGGTTTTTTCCCCTTTTTTTTTTTCTGCCCCATCACCTACCTGGGCCGCCCTCCCCACGCCAGCGGCTTCTCCTGCGGGGCAGAGCGGGGCCGGCGGTGAAGCAGCGAGCGGAGCCGGGGCCGGGGGAGCTCTCCTGGAAGAAAATGCACAGAGAGAGGGGTTGGTTAAAGAGGCGGCAGCTCCGGGGGTGCCCCCACCCATGGGTGTCCGTGGAACTGTTCTGGGGGGTCCCGGCGGGGTCGGCTTTAACCATTCCCCACCCTCACTCAGACGGGATTTTAGGGACACAACCACATGCCTGCCCCTCTTTTTTATTCTCCTCTTTATTAATTCACATTTTAAAAAAAACCAAATCTAAATTTCTATTTCAGGCCCCACCAGAAATTACAATTTTTTTTAACCTGCCAAAAGAAGAAACACGACGAATTTTGAGGTTTATCCAGGAAAAGGCTGCAAAGACAGGGATTTCGCTTTCAAATTTGGATTCTCCCTGGGATTACCCCGATGACAGTGCATTTTTATTTCTAATTTTATTTAATATTACCATCGCGTTAGAACCAGCCCGATCTGGGAGGATTTAGGGAAGGACACGAGCGATTTGCAGAAAATGCTCGGGTGTGTTTTGAGTGTCTTAGCAAATAAAAACCTGCTCCGTGTTTTGCTGTCTTTCTGGGGAGAAAAAAAAAAATCCAAACTGCAGGGAAACAGAAGGAGCCGCCGCCGCGATCGCGGGATCTCCCCTATAACGGCAGATTTTAGGATTTCCAGCCTCAAAATTTCCACRCGCACCAGTGCATAAATAAAAGCTTAATTTTCGGGGGCTAAAACGGAGCCGACCTGGGCAGGACCTGACCTGGTGGGTACCATGGGGGTTTTTTTGCAGAGCCGGGAGTTCACGTATGAACTGAAAAATAGCCCAAAATAAGCCCGGGTTGATTTTTGCCCGTGCAGCCTTTGAACGCAGCTTCTTCCCTGCTCTGAGGAAAGCAAGAGCAGACTGCAGGGATAAAGCTCTTTAAGACCAAAAGAAAAACCCCAAAAATGAAAAAAAAAGACGAAATGAGATAATAAGAACTAAAACATAAGTTAAAATAAAAATTAAAATAAAGATTAAAGCTTCCATGGAGGAAAAAAAAATAAATAAAAAGCCGTGCGGGATTTTGCATCGGCGGCAGGACCGGAACACCCGGGCCCGCTGCAACCGAGAGATGGATTTCGGCCGGGGCATCATGTCTGGCTTCAATAACTTCTAAAAAAAAACCCTAAACACATTTAATTTGAGTGCCCTCCACGGCCTGATGAGGGTGAGTCTTAGCGACGCCGCTCCTCGATAGGAAATCATGGGGCATCAATGGAGCGGCTGTGACCGTGTAGGGGTGGAGGGAGAAATTTAAGAAATGTCACGCGAGGAGAAGTTGGCGCGGTGGAGAGGAATCGTGCCCCCTTCGCTCCGCACCCGGCCGCGTTCTGCGCAGGAGGATGCGCGGAACCTTCGCACCGGCTCAGTTTCCACGCGCGTTTCACTCCCTGGGATTTCCCCATCCACTGGGATYTGCTTATTCCATAACGGGAATCAAGCTCTGCGCATCCCACCCCTCCCAAAATCCTATTTAGTGATGGGGGTGACCGGGCCCTTCACTTCCCGGGTCACCCGTGTGCGCGTCCCCGCCTCCCACGCCCCGCGGCCCGGCCCGACCCCCCCGCAGCACCCCCGGCCGCTCCCTTTTGGGGAAAGCGCTCGCAGGAGCGAGGATTTGGGGGTGCCTCTCCCTCCCTCCTCGGGCGCGGGGGACGCTCCACACCCACGCACCGCCAGCATCCCCTCGAGCAGAGCCACAGCCCCGAATCCACGGGACAACAAGAACCTGGAATGGCCGTGTCCGGCCAGGCCGCTCCCATTCCCTGTCCGAGGTGGAGCGCGGGGATMGCCGGGATCCTCCACACCCCAAAACTGGACCCTCGAGCCGGGKGAAGGTGAAAGAAGCGAACCCCTCACCCGAAGATGTTTTTGGATCGCC